CCATTTCAATGTTAGCGCCTGGCGAACAGATATGTGGGACCAACTTAGTATTGAACGAGGGGAACTAGGCCTTTCAAGTGGTGTAAAATTGCTGCATGTATCGCATAGTTTTTGGCAAAGGTTGTAGTTTTGTTATATTTAGGTACAAGCTATTTTTCAAATTTGCTTTGGCCTTTGCGCTTGGAGGCGTAAGATATGTATGCAGTGTGGACGTTTTTAAGTTCCATATTGCCTGCAGTATAAAGTTTACGTAAGTCGTAAAGATTGCGTAATAAAGTTATTTTGGTAAATTTGTATATTAAAAGTATAAATTACAATAAAATAAAACACAATATCTTTGTGAATGATTTTACATCGTGATTAGACGGAAAAAGGTTCATTAATACAGAGGCCTTTATAACAAGGAAAGTGCTAAAAACTGATGCAAAATTTCTCAACCTAATTTGCGCTCACACGTTCGTTTATAGGAATTTTTCGCAACTCGTGCACAAAAACCGTACGCGTTCAAGAACGTTTGTCGAAAGGTCCTAACCAACGGCAACCTAGAAACGTTTTTACAGACCGCTCTTACAGCGTAATGTAATATAACCAGGCTGAAGCTAACGGTTTTTCCCAATACAATTCAACAAATCGTCTTGTAAATATATCTCTAAAAAATTTTGTTGCAGTTTATAAAATTGCATGTTTGAACGGCTTTGTTTCCTGACATATCTGAACGGCTGGGACCTGGTAGTTGGTATATATAGGTGAGTTTCAAGAAATCCTCTAAGACTTTAACACAAAGGACCGAGGATGAGTCAAAGGTAGATAGAGGACAAACGGTGAGATTTAAATGATGTTCTTTGACTTCTTTCGTGCCATTTATGTTACCCACTACTAACTTGTGCAACATGTACAGACGTGAATTTTTTTCTGTGTTGGCGTAGTGTACTCAGGTGAATATGATATTTGTGGTGTTACTCTGAGTGTATACACAGTATACAGACGTGATTTCTCCCGTAATTTACGTCGGGCTAACCCATTGCAAGCACTCCCCCTCTTCACGAGTAAAATACTAAAATCGTTCGGCGTTAGACTAAGTAAGTAATGAAGTAGGGCATACAAGGGCGCAAATTATGCAAGTTAAAGAGTTAAATACCTTTCGTGTGCACTGAAGTGGAGCCTTATGGAAGTTACCTACAGGCTATAGACAGTGCCGGGTACCTTTCTATTTATAGCAACTCCACATAGCCTACACCATAGCCTACACCTACCGTTCTGCACCTACAGAGGATCTTCATTTCTAAGGATCGAGGGTATCAAACATGGAATGTCCCAATGCACATGCGGAAGACAAAACATTTTTCAGTTTCAAAGGGAAAGACGACTGGTTCACTAATCGTCCATGACGTCACACTTTTTCAATGGCTTATGTTATGCTTACACGAAGTTCTGCGATCAAGGTTTTCAACATGGCGACAAAATATTAAAAGCTGTTTCATTTTTGTTTTTCAAAATACGTTTTCTGTTTTTATTGTAAAATAGAGATTTAGAATCTAAATTCAGTGGGAATATTGAGATGACACCGGAACAAAGAGAAATTATACGTGTAAACGAACCCGCACTTGTATCAGATATAATACCAACAGATATACTAAGTTGGTTGGTGTGCTTGACAAGCGATGATAAGGAAGTAATTACGGCAGACGAGAGAAATATCGGCCCGACAAAAGCTGCAAGGACTTTATTGGATCGTTTAAAAAGACGGCCTGATGCATTTGGACAACTAGTTTGTGCTTTAAGAGAAAAATATGTTAGGACATTTGGCAGAACTGCTGGACCCAAATAATGAAGGTATACTGGT